TTATTTTTATCCTAGTTTGGACAGTGGATGAGCATGTTATTTTCGGGTTTGCATTTTTGTTGATTTGTCTCTCGTAATTTCTAAGCTCACTAATTTTCTTATATCGTGTCATATGCGTCGTAATTTTCCAGCATGCCTTTGTTTCTTTTGTGTCTCAATTTGTTTTAGTTTTAATTGTATTCCATTGTCTATTTGCTTCTTGGAATTTGGAAGTTGGGATTCTTTTGGTGTACATTGCTAATTGTATGCAATACTCATCATATAGTACATCAAATAAACACTAAGTTGTTTATACCATCTAGGATTTTAGCTTTCTGTTTGGAAGCAGTAGCATAAATAATCAACATGAGTTGGGTTGCTTTGTGAACTTGCATTTCTTTCCTTGGAGCTCCACTGATGAGTTAAATCGAGTTTGTTTGATATACATCAACTTAGGAGTTTACTATAATAATTTATCGTATGCATATCATTGCTCTTATTATTTTCAATTGCTAATTCTTATTTCTCATTTTCGTTGCATGTAAAATCTGCCCCCGGGTCCTCATGGACTCTTTCGCCTATCCTTGCATCTTCTTATTGGGCCACAGAGGCCCAATCATTTCCTTCCGAGTCGGACAACAGGGAAAATTGAAGGACAAGTCTATGGATTTGACGTACAGGTGTTTGGAGCTGATATACGGGGTTGTATAAAATGGGAAAATAGTCCCGAAAGTCTCAAATTTCGGAAATTGTATTTTGTTACTTTGGGCCTAAGCCCTTTTAGTCTTAACTATTACTATTCTGTTAGTTTAGGACAGGTGGAAGATTGGCCTAAGGCCCAAGTAAAAAAACAATTCTAAATAGTTTAGGACAGGTGTAAAGTGGGTCAAAAGCCCAAAATGAAATTAGGCCCAAGTGCTGGTCCATGCAGACAGAAAGCCAGACTAAGGCCTGGACCTTCTCTCCCTCTTTATTTAATTTGTTTTCGTATTTGTCTAATTATTTATTTGCTAGTTAATTCTAAGGTTTTTCCGTAACTCAATTCCCTAAAAGACGAAACAATCATATCTTTAAAATCAAACAAGTATTTTATTTGACTTTAAAATATTTAGTACTTAACTAATATTTTTATTTCGTCACCCTTTCCCTTTAAAAAACAAGTTCAAGTCTTAATTGTTATTTCTTCAAACAAAGTATTCTTTTATTTTAAAATCGTTTAGCTAAATAGTTAATTACCGGATAACTGCATGTTAGCGGCCATTTCGAGTGCTTTCAAACCCTTCCCGAAATGCTAATATGAACCCCGAACTCTTTAAATATTTTCTTTAGATTTACTGTTTGATCTTTTGAAAAAGCAGTTTTCTTAATTTTTCTGTAAAAATTAAGTGGTGACTCTTAAAACCAGTGTAATTATATTTTCTTACTAAAACATGAACCAACATGCGGACCGTGTGAATCAAATATTGTATTGTATTGGGATCTGGCCGATAATTCTACCAGCACATTGTGATTTGTTTATTGATACTGCATTTATTTTTACTTTGTTGAGTATGGGGCATATTTTGGCGGCTGATATGCGACTTCTTGTGAGACCGAAACTTTTTGAATCTAAGGATGAGCTGCTTCTTCCGAGCTGCTATGGGTTCATCTTTTCTCTCTTGTCTATTTTTTGGACTCAGACTCTCGTTGTTTTGGGGTTACATCCCATATTCTAGACTACGTAGATGATTTGATACACGACTTTCAGTTTCTAAGGGGTTACTTCCCCACTGTTTGGTGATAGTGGTTTTTATTTATGAAAACTGTTTTAAATTGTTAAAAACTACTTCCTTTTGTTGTTTACTGTTTTACATGTTGGTATATAGTTGGTTCTCACACCACAAATTAGTGTGGGTGCCTTTCATGGCAGATTGGGCCGTGACAGAGAAGGTATATAAATACGTTTAGATTGATTTATCATATTTTTGTTCAATAATGTAGTTGTAAGCTAATTTGAATAAATAATTAGAGGTTCATCAGATCATTATCATATTATTAACCTCGTAAATCAATAATTATATAAGTGAATTAAATCTATGTAATTGAATACTTTGTATAACTGCGAAACAAAGTAGTAACCATATAACATCTCTTAAATTGTAACCACAACCATCTACTTGTTTTTTTCTTTAAATTTAAGTAGATATACATACAAAATCTATATGTGTTAATGTAACACTTGTTTAAAGCTGTGTTACTAGATCTAACTAGATTTTATCAAATCACAAGTCCTTTTGAGTTTGAGATTAGACTCTTTGAGTTACTTTATTAGTTGTACGACCGCGTAAATTTGCGTGTGCTGTTGGGAGCAACAATTAATATGTTAATGCAATAAATAATTTTAATTATTTCGCATTCAAATTTTAATATAACACAAATTTCATTTTTTTACTCCATCACTACCCCCACCCCCTACCATACCCCCCCACCCCAACAATTTTTTTTTTTAAAAGATTGTTTTTTTAAAAAAAAAAAATACTATTTTTTTTACCTCACCCTTATCTCGACCACCCCTACCAGACCCTCTCCCCTCCATAAAAAAATAATTTAAAAGTTTGTTTTTGATAATTATTTAAAAATTTTCATTTTTTACACCATCCTTACCCCTCCCCCCTTACCAGCCTCCTTCCCTCACACAAGTTTTTTTATTTCAAGTTTTGATTTGAAAGTCATGTTTCGAGTCGGGTGTGATTGAGTCTTATTTCGAAAGTCGGGATTGAGTCATGATTTGGAGTCAAATATTCGATCGGAAGTTGAGTCCCACATCGTGTGTCGTGTATATCAAGGTTGGTACCAGTTTGAATGTTGGGTCTCGAATCGAAAGTCAGGGTCGAGTTCTATATTAGAGTCGGGTTCTAGTTTGAATGTCAGATCCTAAGTCGGGGCTGGATCCCAGTTTAAATGTCGGGTCTCGAGTCCATGATAACATGTCAGAATCGGATCTCAGGCCAGAAGTTGGGTCCTCAATCGGGCTTCGAGTCGAGTTGGGTCTTAGATAGGGAGTAGAGGTCAGGTCTTGGATATGGAGGCGGAGTCGTGTCCTGGTTTGAAAGTTGGGTCTTGATTCGAGTGTTGGGGTCAGGTCCTGAGTCAAGTGTACATATAGGATCTCAGATTAGTCATTAGGGTTGGATATCGGTATCGAGTGTCAGTGTTGGGGTCATGTCCAGATTCGCGTGTCACGGTTGAATGTCAGGTCGAAAGTCGGGGATAGGTCCTCAATTTTGAATTGTCCGTCGGTATCGTGTCCTAGTTCGGATGTTAGGGTGAGGTCTTGGATCGAATTATCGAAATTGATTTCCGAATCAAAAACTATTTTCTTAAAAAATATTTTCTACTCTCCAATAGAAAATAAAATATATTTTTCACTAACTAACCAAACATTAAAAATATATATATGTTTTTTTTACTCACCAACCAATCATGAGAAAAATAAATCAGAAATTAATTTTTCAATAAAACCGTTGACTTTTATTTAAGTGTATAACTGTCCCGAACAATTGGATGATCTTTTTAATTTATGAAAAAAACCAAAAAATTTCTGAACTCAACCGAATAACTTTACATGTATGTAAATATATTTATATATTAACATTATGTTATAAATATATTTTATGACATTTTTCAAATATAAATAACCTAAGTCCTACGCCTCTGCTGACTAGACGATTTTGGGTCTTTGCACTTTAATTTGCCTTACTTAATTAGGTTTATAACTAAAAGATACTATAATAGATACTCTATTAAACAATACATCAAAACCTATGCAAACACACCTATTAAATGTTTAAGATCAAACAATAGGGCAACAAAGTTTCACATTTTTTTCTTCTTGGTGAAGAATTAAAGTGTTTCATCAAGAATATATTTGCGAAATAAATATTTTAATAGTAGTACATTTTGAGGTGATATATTAAAAGTAATTTTTTTTTTGAAATTTAACCGACCATACCGATATCATAGAGAAACCGATATGATTGGGATGGTTTTAAAAAATCTAATTTTTGTTACATATTATAAAATACCCAAAAAATTGGAATGATATAATTTTTTAAAAATAATCGATCGAACCATATCATTGACACCCCTAGTTAAAAGAGGATAAAATATTTGGAAATTTGGCATAATCCATTGACTGACGTGTACCGGACACATAGGTACCAAATGCAGCTAAAAGAGGATCAAATATTTGGAAATTTGGCATAATCCAATAAGTGATGTGTAAATTAACAGTCGCGAATTTGGAAATGGATATTCTAATATTCCATTAGGAGTTTAAAAAGAAAAAAAAAACTAGTATATAATAGGGAACACTACATCATAATTGAGTTCCATTTACCAACAAATTACTTTTAGCCCTATCAATTTGTGTCTGGATTTTACCAACATGGGTTATGGTGTATTGGTAGAAATATTTCACCCTTAATTAGATGTCTCGTGTTCGAGTCCTGAATATGAAGAAAATCTTATTGGGAGCGCCACCTCCTAATAGGCCCTGTAGTGCGCGATCCAAATTTAATCGGAGCACCAATATGGACTCCAAACACCAAATAAAAAATAATAATAATAAAAAATTATTTTTTGATTTTAACTCGACACAAAAAAAAAAAAAACATTTTTCCCCAAAGTGGAGCAAATTAAAAGGAGGGATTACATAATGTAACCTTTTTTTATTTTTATACAACCACCAACCTCACCAAATTATTTATTGGGATGAATTGATTTATAAGTAATTTTTTTATTTATATTATTTTAAAATATAAAACGAAATATTTGGACGCTAATTCCGTATCGGAGTCACATTTATGTACGCCACTGCACGGCGGCGTTTCCTTACGATGACCTGTAGATTTCAGTACCGTCACGAAAGTATTAATCCATAGTCAAACCCAATTTTACCTTTTTCTATGCCAAAAAGCTTGGACTCTTCTCCATTCTACGTTTTTTCCTTTCCCATAAATTCTGCATTCATCGCCGGTTGACATTGCTCGCCGTCGCCTGTACTCACAAGGAACAATAACAAATCCAATAGGATAACGGAGCTCCTAGTTGAGCATCTTCAAGTTTCCAGGTGATCGGTTGTTTGAATTTTATCTCCTGACTTCTATGTGTTTTATTGTCCGAGTTATTTAGGTTATTTTTTTTTAGCTGAGCATTTTGTTTTGGACATTGTTATTCAGGTTATGGACGGAAAAAAAATGGTTAAAGGTGGTTATTTTTCTATGTTTAATTGCGGTTTCAACTGGTAGAGGTAATCATGATTTGATAGAATTATTAATTACTACTTAGACTTGAATTTCAGTTTCCAGTGTAGCGTGTTTACTTGGATGATTAGCAATGATATTAATGTGGCTTGTTAAATCGTCTCTATGCTACGTATAGTATGCTTTCTTGGATGGATTTGCAATCCAATTTAGCATTTTTCAGAATATTTTTACATTGAAATTCTTATATCTAGAAAGCTTTAACTGGACTACTGTTAACTTTATTTATCCAACTATTTTTCTACAGTATCCTAAGAAAACAAAAAAAATTGGTATATGATTCATCTCATATTAAACATGTTAAAGTTTAACTCTTCTGTTAAACTCAAACTAGGACACTTTTGAGACAGAGATTGAGGTAGACGTGGTGGAGCTGTTAGAGAGGAATGTGCAAACGCTGATAGATTTGCTGTATGTTTAGACGTTAGAACTCTTAGTTTCTGCTTAGTGCAAGCTGATCAAGACTTTTTTTTCACCAAGTTATTTTACTAATATATGTTATGAAGTTATTTTTCTGTTTACACCATGCTCTTTATGATTGTCGCCATAAACTGATCTTGTTGACTACCGTTAACAAAATTTCTAGATAGCTTACAATTATTTTGTCTGCAGAATTCAAAGTGAAGGCCAAGAACAAGCATCATGCAGCTATCTACAACCACACCCTTGCCACCATATTAGTGGAATATGCTTCAGCAGTAAGTTCTGAGAACTTCATATCTTTTTAATATATTTTTCCAAATTCTATCTGGATCTGTTGTAGTTTCGGGGCCACAAGGGTTGTAAATGTTCTGTATTTAGTATCTTGGAGGCTTCATCACTTGAGTTTGAAATACAATTGTATTAATTTTTTTATTAAGATTATTTAATGCTTTTTATGTAGTTTTAACTTCTATATTTCTGGAACTCCTGTCCTTTGTTTTTCTGCACTTCTGATTTGCAGTTAATGCACAACATTTGCCACTTCAGGCTGCTCCTTTAATGCAGTAATTACTTTACATTGTTCCCTTATATTTGATATCAATTAGACTGTAACCAAAAAGTCCCCTTTCATTTGCAGGTCTATGTGTCCGATTTGACAGACTTATTTGCCTGGACATGCTCAAGATGTAATGGTTTAACCAAGGTATTCTATATGGATCATCATCTTATAGTACGCTTAATGTTAAAAAAAGCTTCATATAAATATCACAATAGTTACCTTGTTAGGATCAAAAAATAAATATCACACGTAGTTTTCATATATGATTGGTTTGTTCAAGCCTTCATTATTAAGTTGTTTTGAATGATATATTTTGTTTTTTCCTTGAGCAGGGATTTCAAATTCTAGAGCTCATTGTTGATGTGCAACGATGCCTTCAGGTGTGTATTACACTATGCAGAAGTAAGCTTGCTCTTAATTAGACGCACTAAGCCGCTACTATGTGATCTAATACCCAATGCCCATTGCAGGCATTTGTAGGTGTGGCACGGGATCTTAATGCCATTGTTATTGCATTCAGAGGCACTCAGGAAAGCAGGTTTGGATACCAGCCCCTTACTTTATTATCATTATTGTGCAACATTAAATTTGATTTATGGGGTTTCAAAATTTGTAGTTTCGTGGTTAAATAGTCATTTACGTTAAAATGGATGTCTTCGTGGGAAAACCATTCTCTTGAAACGAATAATGATATGCTACTCTTTAAATCCTGTGAACCTAATGAAAGTCAGTAAGAATTTCATGACTGAGGTGATAAAATCATGTTAAGTTGTAAAATTAATAGAGAAAGTTATACTTCTACATACTTTACTGGCCAGCTGTCTGGGTCCAAGTTGGCTATTGATATTCCATGAAAATTTGTTATGTTGAAAACGAGAACTGGATCTAAACCACCTTTTACGATGTTGTGGATGCATACACCAATGGGGGTGTATAAGTAAGTACTGTTCTCCAGCTGAATTTGTTGCAACAAAAGAGGCAGAGATGCTATTGATAGAATTAGCTGTCCACTGGATATTTGGATTTAGTTTGACAAGCAAAAGAGTTTTAATTGATCGTCTTGACATGTTAACATTTTTTCTTAGTTTCTCTTCTTTCAACCTGAATAGTCCTAATCAATGTGTAATGTGTTCGGAAAATGTTCTGAGGCAAGGGAAAGCCTAATTTTCTTTAGCAGTCATTTAGGGGGAAGTGAAAATGCCTATGAGATCTGCAACTTTTGTCATGCCTGAGGTCATGTCTCACTTTTGCACCTTAGAGAGTTGTTTCTTGAAGAAAAAGACGAAAAAGAAAGCAGAAGAAGCTTTATCAAAAGAAAGGATAATTTAGCTGTTGAAGCTCATTTTAGCAAGATGTTTAGAAGGGATAACTTAGTTGTTGAAGCTCGTTTAAGCATATGCCAAATCATATGTGCATGTCGAGGAAAAGCCAAATATTGGGTGAACCGTTTGCATAAAAGTAAAACATGAACCAAACAACACCCAATTTTCTAGGTTTCTTCTGGATTTTTCTATCGAAGACATTTACTATTAATAGAATAAGAAAATGTCAATTTGGACATTGGGCATCCACTTCGGGCTTCATCACAAGTGAACCACCCACCCTTTGCTTCAAAACCTCTTCCCTTATAAAATAAGATTCAGTCATTATGGAATTTTCTAAGCACCAAGGTACTTGTGTATTTGGCTACTTATAGTTACTCCCTCTGTCCATATTAGCTGTCCACTTTCCCCTTTACATGCCCCTTAAAAATTATAAATAAGAAAGGGTAATTTTACTAATTTACCCCTGTTGCATACACTATGAGGATGGTGAGAGGAGATATATTTTACATCCCAAAGTGGCTATAATTGGAGTTACCATTCTTTCTGGTACAAAAAGTTCGTATAAAAATGAGAAATGCCCCATCTTTGAGTGCGGTTTGAACTATTGATTTAAGTAATTTGAAATAACAAATTTGGTTTACGACGAAACCTTAAGAAACTTTTTTGGAACTTTACAAACTTGTTTACACTTTCAACAAGAATTAATTGCAAGGGCAAAATGAGAAATTTAATTAATTCAGTAATTTGGGATAACTATTTTCAGTAACATGGACAACTAATATGGGATGGAGTGAGTACTATAACTTCTCGTGATTTTGGTTTCAAAATTTTGTTGAGGAGTTTGAATCTCTTGACCGTAATAGATTATGACTGTTGATTCATAACTTGTGAACCAGGAGTGGCTGAAGCTGCTTCAATCAGAATTCTGTTAGTTCTTGTCTGGGATAATTTTTCTAAATGGCAGAAAAAAAGAAGTTGACTAGAGTCTTCAGGTCTAAGCTGTGAAATGTTGAAGACTTTTCTTTTGTCTGTTGATGTTCACGGTGACCAAGTTTAAAATCTAATAACCTCTGATCAATCTGCTCACGGTTGTGATGTAATATGCATTATCTAAATTACTGTATAGGAATGAAGCTATATGGTCTCTGGCTGTGCGATTCAACATATATTTGATATGAAGTTCAAGTTTTAACTTTTTGGTTACAGCCTACAGAATTGGATTGAAGATCTATACTGGAAGCAGCTTGATATATCTTATCCAGGAATGGAAGATACAATGGTGTGTGTTGACGCCAAGCCTCTTCTGCTTCTATTTTGTTTTTTAACCTTCTTTTCTGCAAATTAGTTATCTCTGCCTCTTTCCAGGTGCATCATGGATTTTATTCTGCTTATCATAACACGTCATTGCGTCCAGGAGTGCTAACTACTGTTAAAAGTGCGAAAGAGTTCTATGGAAATATTCCAATTATAGTGACTGGACACTCAATGGGAGGGGCTATGGCTGCTTTCTGTGGCCTGGATCTCACCGTATGCACTAAAGACTCGCCACTCTTATTACAAAAAATCATTGTTTACATGTTTTGACTTGCCATTTAAAAAAATAGGTCTCATCTTAAATATCACTGATCTTGCATATCCTTGTGGACCATTTGCCATATAATGCAAGAAATATTCTCCAACTCGCACTTAATGGATCTATCTTCTTATTCCAGGTGCATCTTGGATGCCAGAATGTTTCGGTTATGACATTTGGACAACCACGAATTGGTAATGCTGCATTTGTGTCCTACTACAGAGAACGGGTCCCCAATACAATTCGTGTTACAAATCGTCATGATATTGTGCCTCATTTACCCCCTTACTATCAATACTTCCCTCACAAAACTTATCGCCATTTCCCTAGAGAGGCAAGTTCCTCAACTCAAAACCCTGTAATGCTTGATTTTTAACTGCACAAGTCTAGCTGTAAGGAATGATCTCTATACATAGAATATCTTGAGTTCAGTGCTGCGGGCAAATTCGTAAAAATTCAAATCTCAAGAATTTAAATTTGTTTAGCTATTTCAAATTTACACGTTAATGTTAAATTGTGAATTTTTCTCTATCAACCAACTTTCTGCATCTCTGAGATTATCTGTACAGTATATTAAATACCGAAGATATGTTGAAATGGTGTTTATGACTTTATTAAAAAACGAAGGTTGTCAATAATTGTATTTTTTTGTAACTTCTGCACTAAGAAGTTACACATGAATATATGATAAAGACTCATGGTAATAGTCTTTCTCATTGTGAGCATTCGAACTATGTTTAGACACATTCAAGTGACTCTGCCTCTTGCTGTCTTGATTCGTGGTTGCATTATGTTGACTGTGAATCTTGAAATTGCAGGTCTGGCTTTATGATCTTGGCTTTGGAAGTTTAGTTTATACAGTTGAAAAGGTCTGCGATAATTCTGGGGAGGATCCTTCTTGCAGCAGGTAAAGTTTCTCGTTCATGTGCTCAGCAGAAATATATGCACTGGATTTCTTCAAATTGCTTTTCATGCGGTTAGTTTAAGTTAAACTACAAGTGCAAACAGTGGAAAATGCTTATGGCAAATCATAACAAGTTTGAGGGCACATATGGATCCATTTTATAAAGCATTATGGCAAAAATGCTGATACATCATACAACTTTCATTTGTCAAATAAGAAAGCAATTTGAAAAAAAACAAACATTAAAATAAATTCTAACAAGAACTTTCTAAAGGTGTATGAGGTATGTGAAACACAACCGTACATAATTGTGATGATGCAAAAAAGAAGAGAAGAGAGTCTCTCTCACTTTTCTTCTGTTGATAAACAAACAAGAAAGGGAAACCATAATACACTGATATTTGGTAAGAGAAGTGGTAATTTTACTGCTGAACCATGTTGTAACGAAATAATCTGTAATCTTGCTGGTAATTTAGGATCCAGAAAGACCAATTTTTGGATTAGAAACATGTCGAGACTGGAGACACCTAAAGGTGCACCTCCTCTCTAATTATCTTGGTAGTAATAAAAGACTGGCTGAATGTTACTAGAGCTGTTGTTGGCCTCTTTGTAACTTTGATCACATCTTTGTAGGTCGGTGAAAGGCAACAGTGTTAAGGATCATGTGAGATATTTTGGTGTAAAATTATCATGTGATGTATCAGCGGGGTGCAGAATTGTGATGGGTAATGGTCTAGCATCGTATCATACAACAGACAACGACGGAAATATCATCTTCTCCAGAAATATATCTTCTTCTGTTTTGAGAATGAATGTGGAGTCTGGTGAGGAAGGGAAATCATTATAGAGATGATTGGGATTACCACTTGACTCTCCAAAATTTGGGAGAGCTGAAGCAGAGTTTCCCACTTAAGGCTTAAATAGGAAAAATGTATAGCTAGTCAAACTATGCCAGTTGTGTCCTTTTGCTTGGAAGGGCGTCGTGTATATAGTTCCTTTTATTTTTTGTTTTTGTTATCGTTTTTTACATCTTATCCATGTAAATAAAAAGAGATATATGATTAAAGTTCTGTAAATTCGTAAGCGTAGCTATCTGCTCCTTTGAAAATGACAAAAAATGGATTGCCAATTACTGACAGTTGTTAATACACCCATTCCTTCTAAGATTTATTTTCTTTCTCTAGGATAAGGAACGAGAAACAATAATTTTGTAACTTAGTTGATACAATTTCACGTTTTATATATATAGTATACATGAGAGAGTATTGAAAAAAAACCCTAAGTGCAAATTAATAGTTTCGTGCTTGAATTATTGACAACCTTAAAATTATTTCTATATTTGACTAACTAAACTTAAATACATCCTCAATATGCCACATGACATAGCAAGTGGTCTCAAACTTGTAGGAGCATGAATTTCTTAATATAAAGTTTAGAGAAGTGTTAAAAGCACCTCTAAACTTGGCGATAATTTAGAGGTGTATTTAACTCATGTTGCAAGTTCGGGAGTTTATTTAAGTTTTTAAACTTGTCAATAGTTTTGAGATGTAACTAATAATTTGCGTTGAATTTAGGGATGTTTTCGATACTCCTCTCTTTTTCCCACTAGAACCAATTAATAGAATGAAATTAAATGACGAACTAGAACTAAGAATGATATATGTCTTCATGTTACTCCAACCGTACAAATTTTTACTTATGACATTTTCTTATATCTATTTTGGGATGTTTCAAAGTGTTTGCCATATAAATCTCTCTGTTGAAAAATTTAAATACAACATTGATGTAATGTTTCTTTTAATATCAAACAAAATTGTGTTCTTCCATTAGCACTAATAGAGAAGCATATATTTCCAGTTGACATCTTAACGTACTCAATTACTTCCGTCTCATTTTATGTGGTACCATTTAATTTGACACGGTGTTTAAAAAAAAAAAGACTTTGAAGCTTGAGGTCTTTAAGCAATCTTTAGATATTTGTGTCGCTGTAAATCATTCTATTAAAAGTAAAAAGAGAATTCTAAAGTTAAATTGTTTCTAATTATAATAAAGTAACATTCTTTTGGATGGATTAAAAAGAAAATGATACCACCTAAATTGATTTGAGGGGAGTGAATATATGATTTTATCAAGGGTTGGTGGAGATTCTTAATAATGTCAAGAAGAGCAACATAAGAAAACTATTTTTAGTCACAAGTTTTGACAACAATTTAAAGAAATCCCCAAAAAGAAATGTAGATTTAGATGAAATGGGATGTATATAAGCAGAAGAGATGAAAACAGATCATGGAACAAATATGTATACTTAAGGTGGAAATTACAACAAGCTTTAAAAAGCAAGGATTTAACTAATAAACACTCTTCTTCCATATTCCCATGCTTGCACTTTAATCTGTTTTTGAGTCTGATGTTTCAGTTGCATTCTCCTGCAAAATTCAAACAAAAATTAAAAATTGACACTTGTTTCCATAAAAAAACTGCTAACATTATGGACATGGACAATTTATTCCTTTTTTAATCCATATATATATATATGATGGAATAACTTATCTCAGGATAGTTTATTCGAGACAATTAACAGAGACTAACTTGTTCCCAACCAAACGACCCTCAAAGAAAAACAAAAGGATTTTACATTTTACATAGCAGGTTCAAACCTCTTTTGGCTTTTCCTCGGTCTCTGGTTTATCATCATCCTTGACAGTTTCTGGTTTAGCAGCATCTGTGGCCTCAGAAATAGCAATAACTTCTTCCTTCTCTTTTTCTTTCACTTCTTCAATTGGCTTGATGGTCTCCTCTATGGGTTAAAAAAATGCATATTAACACATCAATAAGGAAAAAAAGGACAAGAGAAATAAAAATTTCAATCGAAACATAAAATCCTTGGTCTTTCCCCTTGTTGTAAATTTGAAAATAAAATCTTCAAGATTTTGATAAATACTGATTGAAATATACCAAGTTTGCATTTTAAATTATTGGAATATGAACCTTTTTTGAATCTTGGAAGTACAGAAGAAGAAGAAGAATATCAGCCTTTACCAGATGTGCAAATTTTTCTTCTTAGTTATATTAAGAGTATGTAAAATTATATACTCATATTAGCTAACATTTAACCTTTGTACACCACATATACATATCGTTGGGGGCCCCTATATGTTGTTTTTGATAGACCTCGAATCAAATAAAAGAATACTATAAAACAACAAGTATGTAAAAACAATTCAGATAGCCAAGTAGCACAAAAGAAATTATGATAAGAAAGAAAAGAAGAACAAACCAGTTTTCTCTTCTACTTTAATTTCTTCAACAGATTCTTTCTTCTCCACAACAGCAACAACAGAAACAGGGACTGTTTCCTCATTTTCATTCTTCTTCTCTACAACAGCAACCGGAGTAGTTTCATCGTTCTCTACAACAGAAACAGGGGCTGTTGTTTCATCATTTTCATTCTTCTTCTCTACAACAGCAACATGGATTGTTTCATTCTTCGTCTCTACAACTTTCTCTTCTTTCGCCTTTTCCAATTCCACCATTTCTTTCTTCTCAGACTTCTCTTTTTCCACAGCCACCACTTTCGGTGCAATCAACTCCTTCTCCTCCTCCACTTTTTCATCACTACCAATCTCTGCAACCCCATTTTCAGTTTTTACGACATTTTCACTCTTTGTGGATTCAGATTTAGAACTCAATGATCTCTTGTTCTTAGGAATGGTGGCGTTCTCCGTTGCAACTGCGTGCTTTGATTCCCCACAACCCATCTTTTTATTATAAAGAATTGGAGGAACTTGCAAAAAGAAAAAAACAGGGGAAAAGGGGTATTGATATTTTTTCTGTTTTTTCCTTTGATTTTGGGATTCAAAGGAAAAAAAAAAAGATAGAGGAAGATTGATGGAGAAAATTATTGGCTCTCTCTTTTTTCTTTTCACCCTTTGGTTTTTCTTGGCGGGGCTTTGAGGTTTCTATTATAATAGAAAAACCGTTTTTTTCGTTGGCTTTTCAAGGTTGAGAATTTCCAATTTTTATTTTTAAACATGTCCAATGGAATATTCTATTGCCAAATTTATAGTACCGAATTCAAAATTTAAAGTTAATCAAGTGTGTGATATACTATACACACACATTTTTCGTTTACATTACATCTATCTATAAATTCCAAATTAAATGTTGTGAGTGCAGTCATATCCAAGTCAATGGATTTCATTGTTTGGGTAAAAACCAATTCAGATAGAAAAATTGAATCAAACAATTAAATAGATCGATTTTTATTTGATTTTATTAAAATAAATCAAAAAAATAACTGAACCAAACTGACAAATTGTATACATAATATATTATTTTTTATGAACAACTTTTTATGCTAAAATGATTACAACACTCTAGTGAAAAAAGAGAAAAAGAAATGGTATGATGCACCTTTTAATTGTGCAATTATATCGATAGCTTATGCATTATTCAATAAATTTATGTTGTTTAGTACATTGAATTAACTAACAATATAAGTAGAAAGTTAAATATAATTGGAATTCTCATATAAGAATTTTAAGATCCAAAATGACAAAAATACAATTCATTTCCTTATGAATGAAATGTTTTTTGTTTCTTTTGAATAAATCGTTTCTTTTATTTTCGTATATGATTAATAACTAAAACAAGCGAATCAAATCAAACTTAAATCGATAACAATCAAATTGAACTTAAATAGATAACAACCAAATCGATAAACATGTATTATGATTAGTATGATTTGTTTTTTTTTATTAATTTTAAAAATCAATTAAAATTGATTTAGTTTTGATTTTAACTAATAATCAATCCAAATCAACTCATGAACACCCCTCCTCATGCTGAATACTTAGATAAGTCAATGTCCATACGTACATCATTATTATTATTTTTATAAAAAAGATATACTTAAATAAATTGCATCTTATTGTTTTAATTTACTTCAATAATAAGTACATTAATGGGTAACCACTACTTGGGAATTTTGGGTATGAATTAAACAAATTAGTTGTTATGTTTGAAAGGGTCAATTCATGCAGACAATTTACAAATAAAAGGTTGTTGCCGGCCGGCCGTATGAAAGTGGACATATAGTTAATTTATGAAATTAATGTTGAAATATCCGCTAAATCAGCTGTCAATTCTCTAATGCATTTCCGACGTACCGTATCAGTCGGTTCAATTCGATTTTCAAGTTAATTGGTTTGATTTATCAATTATTGATTTGTAGTGCTAAATTATTAAGATATTGACTTATTGGCTATTAGTTTATCGTTATTGATTTAATCATTAAGATTTGTCACAAAAAATCACTTAGAAACAAGGTGATAAACCAAATCAACCATGCACATTAGTTGTCAGAATGCATTTTGCTCAAAAGTAAACACTATCACACTGTAGAATAACCGCAAGTTTCAGATAACCTAAAATTAAAGTATGAAACTAAGTTCTAAGTCAAGGACATTATATACAAAATGATATAAATATAATTATTTAATTTACTATAGGGTTATCGATTGACCCATTAAGAAAAAACTTCAAACTATTAAGAACCAATAACTCGATAATAAAAGAAAATCAAAACCGTTACCGCAACCGCTAAACCAATAACCCATCATCAATAAATCAATAATCCATCATCAATAAACCAATAAATTTTTTTCGATTCGAATTATCGATTTCGATTTAATTTTAAACAACCCTATAATGAAACATATAGGCACTCGATGCACTAAAGGCCGAGAAGAATCAACATATAACTTGTACTTACCAAACATATACTAACTATTATGTATTTCCCTATATCAATTGTTGTGGAGAACCCAATTTCTAAGTCTTTTGGTACAATCTCAGAGAAGGATGGAACCATGAACAAATGCATGAATCACTACACAAAAATAGAGGACAGATCGATAGAAAACACAAAAAAAGCTGTGCCAAAAAAAATCGATGATGTTTCACTATATCGTTTAAAAAAGAATTGAACAATCTAATGGATCGAGCTTGAACTTTAGATGATTAGATCGTCCCATGGGGTCACTCTGATATAGAGGATTCTGAAAAGTGTAGTCATTCAGTAACTAATTTTTTATTTGGTGATGAATAATCTAAGATTATCTTTAAATATTTCTAGTGAAATTTTTGACTTCACCTAAAAAAATAAAATAATAATATGCTAGTATCATGATTTTAAGGAGTATCATTTGAATTTTTCTCTTAATTAAGCAATATACTTTATTATTAAGGATCAAGACTATTGAGGACCAAAAGTTTGGCATGAAATTAAATGAGTTTTAAGGGGCTTGTTTAATTAAGAGGTAGAGTTAAATGTGAAGTTAATTCCAAGAAAAACTTCATTTAACTCAACGTACCATCAATTATTTCCAAAAGATTATATAATATATATAAAAATAAGATTGAATTTGTTTTCATTAATGAGAAAGCAACACATGTATATTAGATTAATTAATTAATTAACAATATAGTCGTTTTCCCCTTCCATAGTTAAATATTCTCATTAATTAACAATATATTTTTTCAATCCTTATCTTTTTGTCTCTAATTTAGAGCCGGTACGTACAAACATAAAAATTTCCAAAGAAGCATCTTAATGCAATTAGAAAATTTAATTACATACAAACGTATACCACCTTTATATTCCATACTAGTAATTTTGTCCATGCTTCGCGCGGTTATGAAAGACGATAGATATCAATATATATTTATTGAGACATCTAATTAATTTCATAGAGAAAAATATTTGGTTAGTAGTTAGATGACCTTCAACAAAGTAATACGTTACTTTTTACTTTTTGAACCAAAAGAAAATATAAACTTACTAAATTTTCTTTATAAATATAAAACAAAGAGAAGTCATAAAGAGAACTACAAAAAAATGCAACATTAATCCTATAATTTTTAATCATTGAAAAATAAAAAGGAAAAAATACGAAATCAATACACAATCTTTCGAGTTCTTGTCGACATCCATTCCCACAAGTTGATCACCATTAAATAGCATTCATTTTTTTTTCAAGTCAAACTAAAATATGAATAAAATAAGTATCGAAAACATAACAATTTAAAAGACTAATGTGATCATCTCTCCAAAATCTTACAATGCTTCTATAATATGAATAACAAATAATGTCATGAATATGACTATTAATTATTTTAGAGTTTATGGTAATAAAAAATATGAGAGTAATGAAAATAACGATTATTAAGTTTTGCATTAAAAATATGAAAGAACGATTAATTGATATATTTATTATTCAACAAAAAAAAAATAGAAAAATTGTAAAAATAAAATAAAATAAAAAAATAGAATTCTGAGCTAAAGATTATCTAGTAAAGATGAAAAACTCAAGAGACTCTAAGGCATTATTGTGTGGGTTTTAGTGTTATTTAAAATTTGTAGTGAAGGATTTGTAATTGAAAATTCACGGGGAAAATTATATTTAGACATTTTTGAGGAAGTTAAAGGCAAAAAAAGAAAAGAGGAGAAAGAGATATTTATGTCGAACAAAGTCATAACTTACTATTTTGAACCAATTTTTTCTATAAATTTACAACAATCAAAACTTTATATAAAATACAAAATGAAGAGATGAAATAACTAAAATAAATAAATAAATAATACAATATCATTCCTACGATTTAATCATTAAAACATTTAAAACAAATATAAAATCAATGTACAATCTTCCGAGCTTTTGTCGATGTCCACTTCCACAACCCACAATCACCATTCAATAGTCTTCATCTTATTCTTTCAAGTTCCAAAGCATCAACATAATGAGCACTGAAAACTTGACAACTTAAAATGTTAATGTGCTCATTTCAACAAAGTTTTACAATATCTCTATTTATAGGACTACAACATAGAATACCAAATAATATCATAAATTTGACTATTAATTATTCTAGAGGTTATAATAATAAAAAATGAGTAATGAAAATAAAGACCATTAAGTTTTACATTAAAGGAAATTAAAAAATGATTTTGTAGCAATTTCACATTAAGCATTTGATATAAAATTTGCATTACTTGAATTTCTTGTCAAGTTTTTACAATAAATTTCAAATAATAAAAGTACGACTTACATATAAATAAAATTCGATCCGTTCATCAGATGTCATGAAAAAGATGAAATTTTTCCATTCAACAAAAAAAAAATACCTACAATAAAATAATCAAATCTCATATAAGTAAATATTAAGATATAAAATAATATTTTATAAAGTTGTAAAAAAGATTGAGATTCTTGGCCAAAAAGATGAGATGACTTCACCAAGTTAATCCCTAGCTCTACTATACATATAAATTTGATCATTTCTTTTGTAGCAAAATTTTCTAATGCCTCTATTTATAGGACCATAATATGGAATACCAAAAGATATCATAAACATGACTATTAATATGAATTAGAAGTTATGATAATCAAAAGTCATGGGAGTAATGAAAATGAAGACAATTAAGTTTTTATATTAAAGAATATGAATAAATGGAGTAGTAATTGTTTATTTTGTATAATAATAATAATAATAATAATAATAATAATAAAATAGAAAAAAATGAGAAAAAAGATAGATAGGAACTTGGCCAAAGAGAGGTGCCACATCACTTTTCTTTTATCTAATTATATATAGATTAGTTAATCAATTTTTATTTGGCACGGTTTTTAAAAAAATCAAACATAAGAAGGTAATTTTATTAGTAATTTACTCCTTAAAAATATTCTTGAATTTTTACAAACAAATGTGAACACTTTTAAAAAATAATTAATTACAAGGGTAATATAGAAAAAAATTAATTAATGTTTTCTTGATTTAATAAGGTGGACAACAATATAAAACAACTATTTTTAATATAATGATCAACTAATATGGTACAGAGGGAGTATATCC